CAACTCATCCGAGGTCTCCCTCGCCTGTGCTGTCCCTCCATCCTTCCGAGCACGATGTCCTTCTCCAAGGAACAGCCCCTCCTGGCCACATGGCCAAAGTGTATGAGATGGAGCTTCAAAATCCTAGCCTCCAAAAAGAAACATGGTTTAACCCTCTCCAAGACAGATCTATTTGTTTTCTTGGCAGTCCATGGTATGTTCAAGACTCCTCTCCAGCACCACAATTCAAAGGCATCATTTCTTCTTCTGTCATTCATAGTCATTATACAACTTCTTGATGCATAGCAAGTAATTGCAAAGACCATGGACTGGATCAGGAGCACCTTAGTCTTTAGTCTGAACTGTTGCCTCTCAGTACTCTGGAAAAGTCTCTGACAGCATTTTTACCTAATGCAATTCACTTTTTGATTTCCTGATTGCTGGTGCAAAAAAGTGTTGACTGTGGAGCTGAGCAAGCTGTAACTGTTAACAACCTCAATCTATTTTCCATCCATGATGGTGCTGTCATATGGCCCTGTGGTGAGAAATACCATGGGCCTAGTACACTTCTTTCATCAGTACATACTTGTGGATTTGAGTGCATGGAGAAATGAGTGATTGAATTGGCTGTTTTCAGGAAGTGTGTGTATTTTAACTCAGTTATACCAATATTAATAACAATTTAAACTTTGACAATTAATTTTGTGCCAGGCTTAATGGTTGATATTAATTTAATGATGATTACTATAATTTAGTCTTCTCCCTAAAAAGTTGGTATTTGCATCATTCAATGAGGATGTTAAGATACAGAGAAGTTCAAAACAACTATGAGATATCCTCTCACCCCCATAAGAATAGCAAAATTTAACAGAGCAGCAAGCAAAAAAATGTTGGTGAGGTTGTGGAGAGATTGGAATCCTTACTCACTGTTGATGGGAGTATAAAATGGTGCAACCATTATGGAAGGCAATATGGCGCTTTCTCAAAAAGTTGGAAACTGAAATACCATTTGATCCAGCAAGTTCACTACTGGGAATATACTCTAAAGAAACCAGAACTGCCACTCAAGCAGATATATGCACACTCATGTTTATTGCTGCTTTGTTCACAATAGCAAAGAGTTTGAAACAGCCCAAGTGCCCATCAACAAACAAATGGACAGAGAAGCTGTGGTATATTCACACAATGGAATCTTATGCAGCACTGGAAAAATGAAGAACTCATGAAATATTATACAAAATGAGTGACCACAAAGGACATTTTTTTAATTCTTTTTAAAAATTATTATTATTATTTGTGTGTGTGTGTGTACCATCAAATCAGATTTGACTGGCACAGGAGGAGATTGTTCCTCCTTCTCCAGCAAAGCATCTGGTGGATTTGAACCGCTCATCTCTGGGATTGCAGTGCACCTTCTTGCCACGAGGCCACCAGAGCTCGCCACAAAGGACATTTTTCTGAGTGAAATATCTCAGTCACATAAAGACAAATACTGTATAAGGCCACTGTTATAGAACAGGACTGATATGGGAGTTGAGGGGGAACTAAGAAAAGAGGGGATAAATAATGTACATGGCATTGAAACAGATGTGAGGAAGAACTGTATAAAAGAAACATATGATTAGGTATTATTGGCATGACAAGAGTCCAGAATAAGAGCCACATAGTAAAGTGGTCTAGGGGATGACTGTTTAACAATGAAAGAACTTTTTTCCCCAAAGAAAAAGGCAAACTGGTAGGAGAGGAAGACAGGGAGGAAAATGTGCAACAATGAATGAATGCAAATTTTAAAAAAAGAATATGTTCAAACCTGTTATTACCAAATAAAGTATACATTTTCTAAAAAGAAAGAAAGAAAAGATACAGAGAAGTTAAGCCATGTGTTCTTGCACAGAGATAACAGGAGCAAAGAAAAGCCTGAGAATATGTCTGATCCTAGGGCTGGACTCTTAAACACACTTAGGTCCTCCTGTGCTGTTTCCAAGGAATCCAGAAATAAACGTTCACAGCTATAGTCAACTGACGTCTTACATCATATACACACACACAAAAAAATTCAAACAGGATTAAGTACCTAAGTGCACAAATTCAAACAGTAAAAACAAGAAGGGCAATGCTGTCAGTCACAGACTTTAACAATTAATCCATCGTGATCTACCATCATAATCAGAGTACAAACATCCAAAATAAAAATGAATGAAAACTCATAAAAATGGAAAACTTGCTCATCAAATAGACTTTGCCAAAAAAGTGCAAAGACAAATTACCAACTGGGAGAACATTTTCAGAAGTCATACATCAAACAAGCTCCTAATACCCAAAGTATATATAAAACGTCAAAAACCTTCTCAAAACCCCAGAGAACTCAATCATAAAATCATTAGCCATCAGAGAGATGCAAATCAAAACCACAATGAGATACCCCACACTCCTACCAGGAATTCAGTTTTTCATTGTCATTGCCCTTGAGTCAACAATTGATTCAGAGAGGACCCTCCATGGTTGTCCAAGGCTGTAAATCACATGGGAAGAGACTGATCATTTTTCTCATTTGGAGCAGCTGGTGGATTTGAACTACTGAAAAAGTGTGGCCTTTGGGTAAGCATCACAACTGCCTGTGGATTGTGTCATCAGCGCTCTCCAACCAGGACTGCTAAAATAAACAACAAAACCCAACAGAAAATAACAAGTGTTGGCAGACGTAAAGAGAAATTGAGACCCTTATCCAAGGCTAGTGAAAATGCAAAAATACTAGATGCTGTGGGAAACTTGCAGTGATATTAATTTTTCCTTAAAAAACTAAATGAAGAACTATTGTTAACCAAAAGCATTGCTAGTGGGTTTATTGTGACTGATACCAGTCCTCCATCAAGTTTCTGCCCATCTTTCTCCATGTAGCATCTGCTGGAGTCGAAATGCCAACCTCTAGCTTAGCAGCACAACATGATATGCACTGTCACCAGAGCTCCTTAGAACCATCGTATGACTCAGCCATTTCATTCCTAGGGGTGTGTGTATATATATGTGTTGTAAATATGTGTGTGTGTATATATATGTGTTGTAAATAGTCCTGCAATGAACACTGATGTAAAAGTCTTT